ACGGGCCTGCAGGGCCCGTCCCGCATTTCCAACCTAAAAGCCTAGAAATAAGGGCTTACAGGCCCCTGTCGTTTCAGCCTGAAAGACTGAAAAACGAGGGCCTGCAGGCCATATGTCGTTTCAGCCTAAAACAGGGCTTTTCAGCCCTGAGGCTTTTCAGCCTGAAACGGAGGGCCACTTTCGGGCCCTCATAAGATCGACCTACCCTAAGACTCAGGCACAAACACAGGGTTTTGGGAACAGGCTATTTCTGGCCTGTTCCCCACGACAGCCTCGAGCAGGAGCTGCAGCGGCAGCCCCTGACTGCCTTCGGCATTGGCAAGAGCAGCCTCCTGGACTGCCTCGCCCTGCAGCCAGGTGGTACCCGAGTAGTACATAGGAAGTTCCCATGCACTTCACGGGTAGGTAGTTGGACAGTAGGCAGGAGTAGTCTTCAGGATTCAGCCGCAGCACTCAGGAGGAGCGCTGGCAGTAGTAGTTCGCGCTAGCAGTAGTCTTCAGCGCTGGGCGCTCATAGCTGTAGCAGTAGTCTTCAGTGCAGGTTGCTAGTAGCTGGTAGTGGTAGCGTTGGAGAGAGATGGCTGGCAGAGGCCAGCGGTACTTACCTGTGGCGCCATATCTCCAGCTCCATCTTCGAGGTACCTGCATCGAGGCGCCAACTTCACAGGTTAGTACTGGACACAGAGAGAGAGAGAGAGTTGTTCTTCTTCCTCTTCTAAGTCCACCATCTCTTCTTCACCCTCTCACCACCTGACTTCTCAGTATCAGCAGACTACGACAGAGAGAGAGAAAGAGAGTTGTGACTTGAGACTTGACGACATTGGATCCAAACTCGACATTTGGTATTCAGACATTTTGACGAGGGACTATTTGGGCCTGTGCCGAAGACTTGGTGTAGACGACATTCCCATCTCCCCCTCTTCTTCGTCTAACCCCCTTCTTCTTCGTCTGTGTATGGTTGGGGCTGGCGCAGTCTTCCTGTGTGAAGAGCCAGACCCCTTTCACACTATGGAACGATGATGATGATGTATGTTCAGGGCTGCATTGCAATATTGATTGTTCGGATCATTGGTATCTAAGTCTTCCGCTATGCTATTTTGTACTTTGTATTGAGAGGTCGTGCAAGGAACATGAATATGGACGAAGCACAGAAATCCAAATTGCAAAATCACACTGAAGTCCAAGTAGTCAAAGCCAGAGCAGATAGCACAATGGAACCGAGTAACCATCCATTTGAGAACGATAC